CAGATGCAAGTCCTTGCGTCTGATGAAGTGGGCATTCACCCACGAAAGCTTATGCTCCAATACTTCTGTTAGTCTTAAAGGTGCCACAGGACCATCTGTTGCCAAATACATTTGTTAGTGATTAAGTTGCTACCGGACTCCATGTTGTTTTTGAATGTTTAGGACATATGTTGCCTATTTACTTCATTTGTTCTTAAGTGGCAGGCCATTTATTGCTACATCAGTGCCTTTTATACTGTTGCTATCTATTTTCATTGTCCATACTTAGGGGTCTACTGAATTCATGGCCATGAAAATTGCCTCATGGACTGTGGTCTCTTCCATTAAATAAGGTCTCCCCTGTGAAATCTGGTCTCCAGCTGCCCAGCTCTGAAGGTGGCGGTGCTGCAGCACAGAAGGGGGCAACACCATACAATGCTTGCTTCTCTGCAGCTGCTGACAAAGACACCACCTTCAGAGCTGGGCACCTGGCCAGCGGCCACTGCTCTCCTGCAACACAGCTTCAGGCAGCATCATCACCACCAGCAGCAAAGTAAGGGTGGCAATACTGTACCTCCTCAGAGGCTTGTGACTCCCTTTTGGGGTCCTGGCTCCTCATTCGAGAAACGCCATGGAGAACTTACACATTTTATGGACTAGTCATGGCATAAATAGCAAATTTCACAGATGTGTAACACAGCCATGAACTTCACCCCAGGGTCTGCGTCAGTCGTACCCAGGCTGAAACAGGGTTGGGGGCGCCTCTGACTTCAGGAAAGTTTTAACATGTTCATAGCTCACAGGTGACCGAGGAGTCCAATTTAAATGCCCGCCACGTGCTTTCCCCTCACGGGGGCACAGCGGGGTCTCCAGGAGCCCGACCCGCAGACAGCTGGGTGGGGGGTCGCTGCATTACTAGACTAAGGGGGGTCGTGAGGCCAACGGTGTCTGCACAAAGCCGCTTTGATCCTTCCTCCCCCAGTGCCTCGCCCCGTCCCCCACAAACGGGCCTGTTACCACCCCTGGGTTTGAAGCTCGTGGCCTGGACTCACCACAGCCCCCTACAGCCCCGCCCCCGGCCGCCTGAGCGCGGGAGGCAGCGCGCCAGGACACGGAGCACCTCCCCCCGCACAGGGAGCGCGTTATACCCGGGCCTCTAGCGCAGCCCTCCGCCCCGCGCTGGCAACAACGGATCGGCGACGCCACCTCTCGCACCTCCGCGACATTGTCTTTACCTCGCCCTCTCTGTGCTCCCTGCGATTGGTCCAGCTCGGTCATGTGAGCGGCGAGCGCGAGCGAGCGAATCCTGTGACTCCAGGAAAGGGGCGGGGCTCTGGGCGGCACCGCCTCGGGCCAAAGGGGAAAAGCCAAGAGCGGCTTGACAGACAAACGCGGGCTGCTCCCATCACGCGCACTGTGGGGCCGGACCCTGTTCCCTTCCTGGCCGCAACCGCCCGCACTTCCGCCTCGATACCTGTCATGGCCGCCCCCCGTCCCCGCACAGGAGAGGCGACCCAGCGGGGACAGAGGTGGGGGAGGGGCGCTGGATACCCAGAGGCGGGGACAGGGTCTGGTCCATGGTGATGCAGAACAGCGACCTGCTTCAGGCTGAATGGCTGATCTGTGAGAGGCTTGTCCCAGGCCAGCTTGTGACTAGTGTGGTTGGGGCCAAGCTAGGGTGACCAGCTGCCCCTATTTTATAGGGACAGGCCCGCTATTGGGGGCTTTCTCTTATATAGGCACCTATTTCCCCCCCAACCCTGTCCTGATTTTTCACACTTGCTAGCTCATCACCCTAGCCTAAGCACCAGGGCCGGTGCTTCCATTAAGGCAAACTAGGCGGTTGCCTAGGGTGCCAAGATTTGGGGGCCCAAAAAGTGGTGCCCCAATTTTTTTTTTTTACAGCTTTGCTGGGCTGGGCTGCCGGCGGTGCGCTGACACGTGCAGCTCAGACTCCCTCTCCCAGCGCAGCGGCCGCTCCACTTCTCCCGCCTCCCAGGCTTGCGGTGCCAATCAGCTGTTTGGCGCCGTAAGCCTGGGAAGGGAGGAGAATTAGAGGGGGGGCGGTGTGCTCGGGGAGGAGGCGGAGCAGAGGTGAGCTGGGGTGGGGAGCTGTCGCACGGCTCCTGGGGGAGTGGGGGAGCTGCTACAGGGGGGGCGCCTCAGGGCAGGGGGCGCACCGTCGGGGGGGGGGGGGGGGCACCGCAGGGCGGGGAGCTGCCGCAGGGTGTGGGGGGGTGCGCAAGTGCTGGCAATGCTCTTGCACTGGCCCTGCTAAGCACTGAGGTCTCCTGTCTGCCAGTCCCGTGGGCAAACTGCCTGGTGAGATTTATAACACCCCTATGAGCTGTGTTACTGTGTTTATTAGCCCTTTTAAAGGAGGCAAAGCTCTGTGGGAACATAGTAACCGAGAGAAACCAAGGTGAGGCTAGATCTCAGCAACAGGAGATCCTGGAGGGTAGGGATAGGGTCCAGATTGACCTAGACAAATAAATCTGATGAGGTTCGAGAAGGACAAGTGGAGAGTCCTGCACTTAGGAAGGAAGAATCCCATGCACTGCTACAGGCTGGGGACAGACTGGCTAAACAGCAGTTCTGCAGAAAAGGACCTGGGGATTACAGTGGATGAGAACCTGGATATGAGTCAACAGTGTGCCCTCATTGCCAAGAAGGCCAACAGTATATTGGGCCGTATTAGTAGGAGCATTGCCAGCAGATCGAGGGAAGTGATTATTCCCCTCTATTCGGCACTGGTGAGGCAACAACTGGAGTATTGTGTCCAGTTTTGGTCCCCCCCACTACAGAAGGGATGTGGACAAATTGAAGAGAGTCCAGTGGAGGGCAGTGGAAATGATTAGGAGGCTGGTGCACATGACTTATGAGGAGAGGCTGAGGGAACTGGGGTTATTTAGTCTGCAGAAGAGAAGAGTGAGGGGGGATTTGATAGCAGCCTTCAACTACCTGAAGGGGGGATCCAAAGAGGATGGAGCCCAGCTGTTCTCAGTGGTAGCAGATGACAGCACGAGGAGCGATGGTCTCAAGTTACAGCGGGGGAGGTCTAGGTTGGATATTAGGAAACACTATTTCACTAGGAGAGTGGTGAAGCACTGCAATGGGTTACCTGGGAAGGTGTTGGAGGTTTTTAAGGCCCAGCTTGACAAAGCCTTGGCTGGGATGATTTAGTTCGTGTTGGTCTTGCTTGGAACAGGGGATTGAACTATATGACCTCCTGAGTTCTCTTCCAACCCTAATATTCTATGATTCAGGAGGGATAAAAATAGTAATACTGGTAAGCGAGCAGAACAACTTCAGAGAGCGTTATCTACAATAAATGTGACCCCACTTGCCAAGGGCCAGGCTTTCAGCATGCCTCCTTAATTTGCACCTTTGAAATGTATCAGCACATCCTGTTTGCAAATGTATAGACACAGCTAAGGTAGCCCTACTGTCTTGTTAAGCAGTTTGTAATTAAAGAATTCCAAGTAAACTTACACAGGGCTAAGTGCAGTGGTGATGTAAGCTATAACTGTGGTGTAAATTAGTATGTGTAGGCCACATAGCAGTGTAACTTGCATTGATCTGATGCTCAATAGGAGTGTAATTTGTTTTATTTTATTGTATTACTGTCTGATATGATTGATCTTGTCTTGCTCAATTATCCATCTATACCCCTTTCTAACACATTTAGTTCTTCCCTTCCCCACTCCCCTCTCTTTGTTCAACTCTAGTTTAAATTATCAGAATAAATCTTGGAATCCATTTTTAATAGCGCAATCTTCTCTTGTTAAATTTCATTCCAAAGTGGATCAACACCATCACCTTATGATTCTTGGCAAAATAATCCAAGCAAAGGTGGATAAAATGGTGGGTGCATGGAGAATGACAAGAAACTGTTCTCTGCAAAGAAGTGGCTTTCTTCTGACCCATCCCAGCAGCAGCTTTCCCTGGCCTGCTTCTCCTCCTTTTTGTCCCCTCACTAGATGACATTCTTCATTACGTGGTGTGCTGCAGCCTTTCAGGGTCCCTGATTGATCTCATCTGCATGTTGAACCACCTTTACTGAAGCAATCCCTGTACCTGCTCCAGTCCCACTGTTCGGGTTCAGCTCTCCACCCCAAGGCCTACAGGAAAACTCCCTCAAGAGACCATCTAACTACTTCTCCAACTAACTCTCCTGCCACATTCCTCAGAAGGAAGGAAGAATAATTCTGTAGTTAAGAAACAGGCGTAAGAGTCAAGACAGCTGGGTTCTGATCTAAATTCTGCCACAGATTCCCATTGTGATTGTGTGTACGTCACTATGCCTCAGCTTCTTCATCTTTTAAGTATGGGACCTTCCTCACAGTTGGGGGGTGTTGAAATTTGGTGTTTATTAGTGCAGCATTTCCCGAATTTTGGAAAGATGTACTCCTCTTGAGGATAATGGAAACAAGTACATGGTTGTGTTGAAGGAGTTTGTATTGTAAAAGGCCTACCCAAAATGAGCATAGCTTGCAGAGTAAATTGTGTAGATCTTCATAATGATACTTCTCCACTCCACCCTGCTTTTATGAGCCATGAAATATTTTTAAATGTCAACATTTTAAACTATGATCATTGGCATTTGAATACCTCAGAGCTATTCTTGCAGAATCTCTGCAAGCTCAGGCAGGCACTGCTGTATTAATTACTTTCAGGTTGTCATGTTTTCAAGGTTTTAATTGAAAGTATAACAACTAGGCACCACCACAAGTAGGAAGGTGGTAAGAAGTAGAGCACCCCATTCAGCACACCTGGCTTTGCTCCTATTGTGCTAATCACATGTCACAGAGCAGGAGCCCCTCATCCTGCTGGGGAAAGCTGCCAAGCCCTGCAGCAGCCCAGAGCCGTTCAGCTGCTTTGGTAGTGACAGTAAATATAAACAGCAACTAAGTGCAACCCGGGGGGGGAGCGCTGACCTGTTTCTCTGTCCCTGCCTCCCGCTGCCCTTGCCCCAACCAGGCAGGAGCAGGGGAGCTTCCCAGGGGAGTTCCCAGGTAACCAAGCATTGCAGCTGCCTCTACTGACAAGAGTCGCCTGCAGCACCTCACACAGGCCCCATGTGTCTCCAGAGGTGCTGCCCAGAGCCTCTGAGGAGGCTGTACAGTGAAAGGCACCAATCCCTGCTGGCGGCACCTCTCTCTCTCTCTCTCTCTCTCTGCTGGTGGCTGCATTTCAGAAATGCTCTGCTAGTACCACTCCTACTCCCAGTTTACAGCCAACTCCTCCCCCTGTCTTCCTTGGCAGTCTTCTGGCTGTCCATGTTCTCCCCTATGACAGAGTGCTAGGAATCTACACCTATTGAATCCTGGAAAGATGGGTGGGCACAAGCCCACCCACAGCTGAAGGCCCCTCCCCCAGCCTAGGGAAAGTAGCCACCAAACTCGAGGTTCAACTGAATACAGGGGACAACAAATGAATAAACAGGGATGGGTGTGGGGGTCACAGGTTCATAATAAGAGATCCGGAGGGGGACACTGAGTAGAGAACCCTGGACAGCGCCCACTGCTCCTCAAAGGTGGCTAGGGAGCCAGCGGATGCTGCCCAGAAGAATTCTGCCCGGATGCATGAAATGAGGGAGGAACGAAGTAGGCCCCACAGTCCCAGAGCACCCCCCCCCCAGCCAACATCCTCTCTCTGGTGTTATAGATGGCCACTTTGGCCATCTCTAGGAGGAGATTGATAAGGAGGTCCTGTGACTTCGTGGGAACACAGATGGGGTGTGCAATACATTAGAAGGTGGGGAGAGAAGTGCAGCCAGAACCGCAAAAGTAGGCCCAGCAGGAGCCAGAAAAGGGGCTGCAACCTGACACACTCAAGGTAGGTGTGCGCCAGCATCTCCCTCATGCCTCAAAAGGGACAGGCATTGGGGACGGGGTGAATCACGCCACGTACACATCCGTGCTCACGGCTCCATGAAGGAGCTGCCAACTAATATCGCTGGCGGGCCGTGGGACCAAGTTGGAATAGAGACTGGCCCACTTGGGTTCCTCACCCTCAGCAGATGGCATTAGGTCCCGCCACTTAGTATCGGTGCAGAACACGAGGGTGAGGAAATGGAGAGTATTGAGCACAAGTGTGTTCAGATGTGCCCTTGGTGGGGTTCGGAAGCAAACCAGCTGCAGGCTGCACAGCTGGCTGGAGGTATTCACAGGGGACAGCCAGGGGGCCTCACGGGGCAGGGGCCCGATTAAAAGATCCAGAGGGCGAGGGGCGGGCGGTGAGCACCCTCTCACAGGACCTGCTCAAGGAAAGCTGGAGAGGCGAACAATGCTGGGAACCTACAGCTAAAAACCAGCACTCTGATTAAATGCCACTTAATTCCTCCTTCCCCGCAGGGACCTAACTGTGCCTAATTAGCAGAAGTAGAGTAGAAGAAGGCATAGGAAGGAAGAGTCTCTGGCTGGAGACAGATCATCCCTCTCTACTCCTTAGTAAAGGGATGAGAAGTAACAAATGCTGTAAATGATGTGGTGTGTGGGTCA